ATGAATGAAAATTCAACACCTTGTGAATGAACCTAAGCTAGAAGAAACTATGAAAGCTAGAATGTGACAATTCTTTACAACAGCAAGTCAACAATTTATTTTTGCTTACGGATTTATAAAAATATCAAATTCAAATTAGAATGATGTAAAAGTTGATAATAACAGTATGAAATATGTTAAACATTCATTAAATTTTATGAGGTTATTATACATTGTTGAGTACAATACTGAATTCTATTGGCCGAGTACACAGCTACAAAACCTATATTGGACAAGGTCCTATCTGATATTCAAATACAGGTTTTGCAACTGTGTAAGAGTCCAATAGAAGCAGTACTGTATTCAAAAATGTAAACTGACCTCTTTATTTCTCACCACCAGTGTTTTAACATTTTGACTTAAGCACAATATGGATTTTTGCGACACGGAAAATGTATTTACATACTCGCAGTTGATCAGTTATTCTGCAAGGAACACATTTGTTTATAATTATTCAAAAACAATAGTGAAATGAATGGCAGCAAGAACTGGAAAGACTCCCAAAACCTCTAACCCATGTATGTTTAGAACATATTACTATAAAACTGTGAGTAAAACAAAAGTACTCCAAATCTGGAATGTAGTCAGTTGAGATTAAACTTGATATGAATATTGTAGGTACATATTTTATGTATCAAATCTCTATGATACAATGTTTGTTCCCAGCTGGAAGTAAATGAATGGGATGATGGTGAAGTAATGCACTTTGTGATAAGGAAAGCCAATTCTGGGTGTTCTTAACAACAAAATCTTCGGTAATGAAATTTATGTTATATAAAATAGTTTTATAGGACATGTTATATATACATGTATATGTCAAGTATGCCAATACCTCATACTGTGTTAGTGCAACATAAAATCATAGGCTTCAAACATTTTTTTTATTTGAAAATGGCTGAAGATACTGAAATTGTCATGGTTTTCTGCGCCTGAAATTTCCCTGGCCTAATAAAAAGACAAGGAAACAATGAAAGACTTCCTAGTACAGCATAATGGTTATCAAAAATAGATTACATGTACTAGCTATAGTCTGATTTTATTGACCTGTCAATTTTGAATACATTAAAGCACTCATTTACATATTCAATCCCACTTCGGGTTTGTCCGTTTATTTCACGAGAATTAAAATGGAGTATATCGATAACGTTAGGAAAACTCTCACTAGCTTAATGTAGGTTTTCCAAAAATCAGCAAAAGCACAGTCTGTTAAGTGATTACCTAATGTATGAGAGGTCCGAGGTTCGATACCTTCTTTTGAGATTCTTTTTAGACTTATCCTTTCTTTATTTTTAAGTATATTTTAATGAAAATGGTCAAGCGCATGTAAAATTGTCTACACGGATATGAAGCAACTATGAAGCACTGAATTGTCACGTTTTGTATTGTATTTTAAGTCACTGAAATGACATTTATTGATTTTAATCAGAATGAATTTTGAATATTAATTCTTAAACAAAGTTATATACAAAAGTATAGTATTTAAAAAAAGTGCAAAACATATTCAAACAGAAAGAACAACCATAACTTCAAAAATGTTGAAAATAGTTGTGAATTAGGAAAAAAACTTGGACATATGCTGTCTCGATCTTACAACACGTAGGACATTTAGATCTTATATACCCGTAGTTTACTCTATTGCGCTATAACGGTCATTGTATCTAATTCGTAGAAACATGATGAATTTATTCACATCTTACTGCGTACATGACTACATCTCACGGAATCTACCGAACATTTATCGAATATTAATATATTCTGTGCATTGACCGTATAATCAGTATGGAATTGACAGGTTAAATACACTGGCCCTTGATTAGTATGCAGTATGTGTAAAGAGCAATAATCGTTTCCGCGCTGTTTCTCTGCAACTACTGGCTGGAATTCAATTAAACTTTATAGGAACCATTGATACATGCCCAGATAATACTATCTAACACGGAGTTATGACCTCTGTTATTGCTCTGAATATTTATCATGTACAAAGAATATTACTGTTTACGCCATGATAAATATATAAAAAATAAAGCCTTATGTCTCCAGTTGTTGTGTTAGTAATAACCAGTACTCGACAGGGGGATAAATTCAAGGAATTTGCTTGTATAGAAGTAATATTCGAGGCCGAACAATCAACATTTGAGGAAACTTAAATGAAATGCTTAATGAAAACAATGCTAAATTAGTTTGCAAGTTTTAAAAGATAATATATTCATTTCAAGAGAAACAACTTTTGAATTATCTTGTTTACATGACATGTTTTATATATGAAACATTGAAGTGAATATAATGTAATCATAACATTCAGAATACATCATATTGTTCAGCTGTAATTTTCTTGTTGTTGTTTTTTCTTTCACCATTTCATGCGTAAAAATCGAAGTTACTTGGTCTGTGTTATGTAGTACACAGCTAGCTTTCTGAAATTTTGTTTATGTTCTTATTATTGTAAGCAATGATTTTGGGTTGATAAGATGACCCTTACAACAATCAGTTGTGGAGAAAAGTACTAGATTTAGTTTGTTTGTATCATGTATGCTTAGCTCATAAAAATTTTATAAAGGTACAATGTATAAGGATATCCGACCTTCCTCCATGGTAAGAGTCGCTGATTTCTTATCGAGTGATCTCTCTGATCTGGGTCTCATCCCTGGAAGAATAACATGGTAGTTAGGAAGGATATTAGTTAAGCACTGGTGCGAGTATCCGGTATTGAGAACGATTGTTAAGAAACTACCCGATTGTTAAGAAACTACCCGTCTACAAAGCTGACATTATGTTGAAAAGGGGTTATAACCCTCCGTGTGTGCCTTATATATAAACATACACAAAAATTTACCTCATCATTAAGTATCAATGTTCCCTTTTTTAAAACCTTAGATTTTCTACATCTCGAGACGTTTTCCTATAATGAAGTTATTATGTCCTCAATAGCTTGCCAGTTCACTTATCACTTAACAACGTCCACAGAAGAATGTGTTTTGACCCGTGTCCTTAATTGGATGCATTTGTCAGAATGTCCCCATTAGGTTAGACACACCAGTGGGGGTGGGTCCTCAATAGACTTAATATACTCTTTTTCCAGTCTATTTGTAATGACAGTATCGTTTATTAAAAGTTATAAGTATGGTGTAAAGAATATATTTGTGATCTAAGGGCAGTTATTTTGAAAGAAAACTATTCAGAAAGGAGTGTCCTCAATAGACTGCAAAATGTTGTGTGTCCTCATTGGAGTGTCCATACAAGTATTGGTGTGTTTGTGTGTGTGTGTGTGTGTGCGCGTGTGTTGGCGTGTGTGTGTGTTTTTCTTTTTGATATTTTTTTGTAATTGTTGTTTTTTCTTTCATTACATTGGTTTCACATCTGGTATAACCGTTCATATGTATGAAAATAAATAATTGTAAAACCACTGTGGGATGTGCTTCGACCCACAAATGGTTATGTGACGAAGCGAATAAATAGGGTTATCCCATGTGGGGCCTAAAAAAACAACATCAAATGAAAATATATAGATTAAAATTTTGTTCGACATAACAAAAAAATGGTAAACGATCTGTTCAAAAATTACTCACCACCGAACAAAAAAATGCAATAAATAATCCTATATAAGAATTCATGTATAAGACATTTTGTTTGGACGATCAAACACAACAGTTATTTTCGACAAGTTGAAAAGAATCTTTTAATATTACCATTATTGTTATTAATAATAATTTTATTATAATCTGATCAATGAATGATCTTCTTATTCTTATTTCTCAGTTTGTTTCCATTTTTCATATTGAAAATACGGCATTTTTAGGTTATCATATTCCAGCAAGTAACTAACTCTGTCATAATTACTTCATTTATGTAATAGAAAGAGCACCGAAACACGAGGCTATCTGATTTGTACGAGGGGGCGTAGCCCCCGAGTATTAATCAGATTGCCGAGTGTTTTGATGTTCTTTCTCTTTTGTATCATAGTCAAACATGACAGCACGTTCCCTGTTGTCATAAAATGAAACCCCAGAAAAAATTAACCAATGAACGAACATTTGAATATGATATTTCTGCCCCTTTCCCTTTCTCTGCCGTCACAATATGTAAACCCCAGCAAAAATGAACCAATCAACGGGCATTATCTGGAGTGCGGGTAACTGATACCCGCACTCCAGTTACCGCACTGTGCATGTATATATATACGATTTAACTCTGACACTTTTTCAACAGAAAGGTCCCCAAACTATGATACAATTGATATATATTCCATATATTGTAGGTAGATACCTTCATTGTTCCTCTAACATTTCGTGAAGTAAGGGGTCAATGGGGTTATTCTCATTGGAATATAAAGTAAAATAGGTGTCTGTGAGTCAAGATCAGGGATGCCGACACATAGATTTCTACACATTTGCTTATACAGCCTTTTTTATAGTCACTCGTTTGTCATAACGAATACTTGCCATCATGTATGTTTCAGAATTACAAAACGCCATGTCTTTGTCAAGTTTTATATATGTGTATAAAATTTATCATGGCAATTTCCTGTCATTATCTGAATTGGTTTACCTTTTTTGAAATATAAAGTTAATCAGACAACATTTGAGCCGAGACACTTCTTGGTTAACACGTTCTTGTTTAATTTAACTTTTCTGTCATGTTGCATGTTTTTGTTTCTGTATTTTTTTTTATTTTATTTTTTTTTTCATTTTTATTATCATTTTAAAACGAACAAAACACATATATGCTCATTTACAAGTACAAAGAGTACAAAGTACAACATCACTACTTTACTTTGTGCTTTGAAATTATTATTATAAGGGCATGACTGTTTGCATGTTTAGAGACAGAGAAAACTGTGAGTTATATCACTGTCACTAAGAATTATTGTGACAAAATATTTATCAATATTGAACTTAATATTGATAATAATAAAAAAACATGCTAAAAACAAATGTAATCAATGGGTATCGTCTTTGTTTATTTATTTATCTATTATGGTTACTTAAATTTTATATTTTTAAACAAATAAGCATTCATACAGCTTTATATCGGAAATGTAAATATATATTTTCATTTGTATAATATTGCTATTTAGTTTACAAAACGAGACATTAAAAAGTTACTTTTTGTTTTTGTCGTGTAATTTTACAAAAACTTATCATGAACCGTCCAATCAATGTGTCTACCTGACAACATTTGAACATTTTTACAACAAACAAATAAAACATGATTAGATTTATTTTCATGTTATACCTATCCAATCTGGTAGGTAATAGTCATATATATTAAAAAGCTTTGCTAGATTACTTTTTGATCGTGGAAACTCTTTATAATAAACAGCTTTGCCCCCTGCTAGCCAAGCTCCCCACCATCCAAAGGTTCCTGCTGAAACTATCACGTGATCACTCAATGCCATAATTGCCAGATCGTCTCCAGGATTGTCGAATGGACTTATATGGACATTATTCAAGTTCTCCTCACACCATTTTTTGTCATTTGTAACCACAAAAAATTTTATGTCAGATGTGTTTTGTTGTAATATGTGTTTTGCTTTTTCAACAAATGTTGCATCTACTACGGCAAATCCTTTTTTTAAATTACCAGGGGTGCTAAAATCTCCACGACGGATATGAATTGTAGCCTGTTTAAAGCCTTTAGGGTTCACAAGGTTCATATATTGTTTAGCTCTGTTAAAATGTACATATTTTAAGCGTAATGCGTTTTTAACAATATCTCTTTCGGTATCAAAATATCTCCAAGATTGAAAACAACCTGCAATAGTAAAGTTGTAAGATTCTGACTTAAGTCCTTTGCTTAAGTCTTTATATATCGCTACTTTCTTTCCAAGTAAGATTACATTATTTGATAGATTTCTCTTATTGAAATCCACAATATTAGGTAAGTCAAAATACGTGTTAACGTGGTATGATGAAGGAATAACTGGTATTAAATCATGTCTATATGCCAATCCCAAAATTGTAGCAATTTGAAATAAGTCGTTGCCCGTTCTTCCTTCACTTTTAGCAATTGTAATAAAACGCTGACATCGAGATGTTCTTAGGTCGGACAGTGGCCATCTGTTGCTAGTATATTTCCATTTGAGATGAAAACATCGTTTGTTACTATACATGACACTGTCGTTTATATATAAAAATTTCGTTTTGTATATATCAATTGATGTAGTAATACTGATTGGTTTAGATGTAAGGACGTAGCTTTCTGAATTATTTATCATGTAAATTAATACACGAACAAACGAAAATAGAGACAACAACAGCACTAAACTTTTAATTCGAAACATCATTTTCATTCTTAAAAAAAACCTTGAAAATCCAGCTTCAAAAATGTCATGTAAAATATATCCGTCACTTTCCTGCTGATCAAAATATCAGTTGTCGCATTTGTTAATATAGTTTAAAAATTCAATTACTTATAAACACCCTTATAGAATAACATGTACGTCCAGCAAGTTTTAAATAAACACAACTTGGTTTTGAAAAAAAAATATCGGAATTAAAGAAAGACCAATGTTCAATTTATTTAAACCTATTTAAATGGTATAAACGCTGTTAAACATGTAAATTTAGCAAATATCACTAGACATCCATTCGTTCAACGTGGATAATGGTAGTAAATATGTTGTAGGGACATTTATTAAACTATGTTACTATAAAAATCATTTGAGGAGCGCCAAGTGTCTCAATTACCATATATTTTATTAGTAACACTTGCAAAAATAATAGGAAGAAGGGAAGAAGAAGATCATTACTTTTGATATCATACCGTTACTATTACAATTGTTGTTATTATTATTATTATTATTATTATTATTATTATTATTATTATTATTATTATTATTATTATTATTATTATTATTATTATAAGTATTATAAGAAACTGTTTAAAAACACAATTATAGCTGAGATCGCTTTTCGTTTCATTATATTGACAAACATATAAAAGCATACTACATCTATATGCTTTGATTTATTGCAACATCCCAGAGATATGTGTAGCGTACATGTTTATTTCTTAGCGCGTTTCTACAGTTATTAAGCTTATGTTTTATCTACCATAACTTATTGTTTTAGTCAGTGTGCTATGTGCGTTTCAATATTGCGTAAGCTTGTTTGGTGGTACTTGATTGTTTTTAAACCTATTTGTAAACAATATTCGAAACATAACGCGTTTCTTCTTTTTTCTTTCGGTTAATCAGACTATATGTTTCGCGTATCAAAAATGCACCTAAATCAGGTAGGCCAAAATCTGCATCTCGTACCGAAATCGTTTCCAAAATAAAGGATATCATTGAAGGAGATGCAAGATTTACAATTGAAAGGACCTAAATACAGAATTCCGTCTGAGATTGATTTTAATGCTTGTCGTGGTCAGATTGCTGAATCTATAAAGGATTTTTCGGTTAAATGGTGTCGCCGTGAAAATGCGGATAGTAATGCTCTAGTTACATGGAAACGTAACATCTTTAAAATTATTGATTCACGTATTAATTTTTATTGTGGAAATGAACATCTTTTGCCACCTAAACCAAGACTTACTTTAAGACATCTGAAAATAGATATTCTAGCTTTTCATTCAAAATTTGTTTTGGTGCCAGCGGACAAGGCGGCTAATAATATTATAATTGTATGACGAATCCATTACATTAACGTTTTGCATAAGGAACTAAATAGTACTAATGCGTATTCTAAAACCTCAGCCTCCGAAAAAGACATTGTAAACAATCATATTACTAATATTTCTAATCTTCAAGTCCAAATTAATGAAAAAGAACTCAAACTTCCTATTATGTATTGGATTCCTAAATTACATAAAAAACCTTACAAAGCCAGATTTATTGCTAATTCTACATCTTGCACTACAAGTAAACTTTCTATTTTATTGACGTCTTGTTTGACTGCCATTAAAACACATTTAATTAGATATTGTGATAAAGTATATGAAAACACAGGCAAACATCTCTTTTGGTCAATTAAAAATTATGGTGAAATATTGGATAAATTCAAAATTAAGAACTTTCAAGCTTCAACTGTCAGTGCATACGATTTTTCCGCACTTTATACAACTTTGCCACATAAATTAATCAATGATAAACTAATTTCCCTAATTCAGAAAACTTTTGCATGGGAAAAAGTTACCTTTCTAGCATGTAATTCTAACAAAGCTTTTTTTTACTAACGGTATTGTTAAACATTATACTATGTGGACCTGTGACGAAGTTTGTAGAGCACTCTCTTTTCTTTTAGACAAAATTTATGTCAGGTTTGGTAATACCCTATTTAAACAGATCATAGGAATTCCTATGGGTACTAATTGTGCACCCCTGGTCGCCGATTTGTTTTTGTACTGCTATGAAAGAGACTTTATGTTGAGTCTCTCTGAAGATAAACAACAAGATGTTATAGTCGCATTTAATAATACTTCCAGATACCTTGATGATATTTTAATTTAGATAATCCTTATTTTGATCAAATGGTGTCTGACATTTATCCGCATGAACTACAACTTAATAAAACGAACTCTTAAAATTTGAGTACATCATTTTTGGATCTTCGTGTTGTTATCAACAACAATTCTATTCACACGAAAATCTATGATAAAAGAGATGATTTTGACTTTTGTAAAGTTAATTATCCACATTTAGATGGAGACGTACCCCATGCAACATCTTACGGGGTTTATGTTTCTCAGTTAATTAGATTCGCTAGAGCTTGTAGCAACGTAAAGGATTTCAACGAGCGGAATATTTTTATTTCCAGCAAGCTTCTAAAACAGGGCTACCGCTATCATAAATTACGGAAATATTTTACAAAATTTTACATTTGTAAATTTGATTTAATTTCTAAATTCAATAGTGATTTAAAAACTCTTCTGCGACAAGGGATTAGCCAGCCTGGTTTTTATGGCGATGTGATTTACAAACTTCGTAAGATTTTGGGTCACGGTAATTTTTCTGCTGTTTTTACTAAAATCATTAAACGTTTTATTAAAAGAGGTTATGACCCTACTATTTTAAGACATACTGCATGTTTAGTGTTCAACCCTTTTACAGTTGTACACTACGCTTTCCTCTTTTGATTGCATCTGACGGACCAAGTGGGAGACTCTATGATGGATAGTTCGTAAAGCCCTTTGGGACTGAATTGTCTTAATGTTCGTCTTCTGCCTTGCTTCGTCGGGCCCTTGTAGGTGATTTTCTTGTTGCTCTGTCTTCCTTTAGGACATTGAGTACTTTTGTTATGGTCATTGGTTTTACTTTTATATGTTTCTACATCATCATTTTAGTGTTTTACTTATTTAACCTTTTGTAACCATGACAACTGTTAGAATTTCACTTGGCGGGGATTCATTTTATTTACACTGTCTCGTTTATAGGAACATGGTGGGGCTAAGAGCGAGGTTTGGTGCACCATTAACCGTTTTAAACTCCCAAGCAGTCATTATTATGCTGCTGACCGTTCCAAGGCGGCGCCCCACTGTGTTCCTCAGATGTATGTCATGTTGTTTTCATACTGTTTTGGTGACACTTTTTCTTGTGTCCCTTGTTGTTTTCTCGTCTACGGTAAGTATCTTCCCCATTGCCTCTAGTTTTTATTTCTTTGATTAACCCACCCCCCCCCCCTCCCCCGGTCTCCTGTCCCCTTCCCCTTTGTGGGCCTATTATTATTTTCTTAGAATTCCTAATCAGTTACAAATTATTTATCATTTAATGATTAACCTGTCCGTGCTCTGTCTTTGCCCTGGTCCTGGTTTTGTTTAGGGTCCGCCTGGGCTCCTTGCCATTGGTTCTTGTTGCTGGGTCATATGGGGGTTGCGTTCATTGACGCGGCCTTTCCTTGTTGATCTTGTTTATCATATTTTACAGTTCGTGATATTGCACGAAAGGTAGGCATATCACTATTAACGGTTCATTTTATTTTGAAGAATCATTTGAAAATCAGAAAGATTTCTGCTAGATGGATGTCACATCTGTTGACCGATGAGCAAAACAGGCAACGGGTTAAGTGGCCAAAAAGCAGCTTCAAATGTTTACTAAATGTGACAAAAAACAGTTTGCCAATTTCGACACAGGTGTTGAAACTTGGGTCCATTATTTTGAGCCCGTCAGAAAAGTTGGCAACAAAATCTGGGCCAATAAACACAACAAACGCCCTAGAACTGCCAAAGGGTTTTTCGGTGCAAAGAAGGTTTTGTATGCAATTGTCTTCTCTGATGAAGGAATCGCATTAAAAGTGCCGGTGAAAAAGGACAAAAATATCACTGAGATTCTACAAAGACGTTGTACTTATGAAACTGAAAAAAGTATTATAATTAACGATGCCCTGTCACTGGTTTTAAGCATATCCGTCTTCTACATGACAATGCCCCAGCTCATACCTGCGCAATAGTTTCGGCGTTTTTGAAACAAGAGAAAGAAACTGTTTTGCCTCACCCATGTATTCTCAAGACCTTGCCCCATGTGATTTATTTTTGTTTCCGAAATTGAAATCCTTCCTTGCTGGGCGGAAATACAAGTCCCGACAGGCACTTGGATCTGCTATTCATCAGTACCTTATTACTGTGCCCATATCAGCGTACCGTGACGCATTCAAGAAGTGGATACATCGGCTGAAACTTTGCATTTCTAGCCAAGGGGAGTACTTCGAGGGCATGAAATGAACACTTATGAGCTAACTATAAATTTGAAGTCTCCAAATAGAAATAAGCAAACCATTTCGAGCACCCCCGTATATATCACATAAATAAGGGTGGCCAGGTATATATACAAAATATACCACATGCATTACGGTGACTTTCCACTTTGAATAACAAGAGTTCTCAGGGAGACAACACGCACTAATTTTCGAGTACAGCTTACAAAGAGACAAAGAGACAAAATATCAGGATAAAAATTATTGTGCAGAATTTACTTTCTTGAAAGTAGGCGGGATTATGATAATCAAATGTAGTATAATAATTCAAATAGTTAAAATAATTTAAACAACAAATTAAGACAAACAAAAGAAAATCAATTTAAAGGAGCTTATTGACACAGGTCACTTTAAAAAATATATATCAAAGAATTTGTTATGTATTGATTCAGTTACTTTAAAGTCATGTCATAGAATAACACTTTTGACCAGAACACAAATTTCATCTCCACCATGAAGCACAATACATTTCATTATCTTCCATATAACAAAAAAACAGTTCACCTCTACAATATTACACAACATCATAATTCCATCACATTTAAAAAAAAAACAAAAAAAAACATGAAAAATAAGAAATTTAAGTTTGCTTTACAAGGGAAAATCTGACAATAAACACTCATTTTTTAATACCTTAGAGCTTTAATTATCAAACTTTTCTTTTATTTTAAAATGAATTTTATATAGGTTTTGAATTGGTCTGTGTGAAAAATACAAAAAAAAATCATGGTTTCAATATATCAAATAAGACTCAGACTTCAGATGCGATTTTAATGTATTGCATTCCATCTATCTAGAATTCGCACCCAGGACCTCAAGAACATGAGGCTAGCGCGCTTACACTGAGCAAATGCGCTGCATTTAATGT